TCAGTGAGCTACTCCCAAATGCCAATTTATGGTTCTCAGATATCTTATACTTGTTGCAGCATAGCTCCTCATGCCTTGCTTTTCATTTATAACTAATTCCTTTCCATTTTATTATCATAAATATTATGATTATATTTATAACTCAGTGATGTTTCCAATAGTGTTTTTGTGAATTACCATGAAAACAATTGAATGACTTAATTGGTCATTTATCGGTCTCTACATTGTACAACTCAAGAAGTTAAAAGGGGGAAAATCTTCATAATTGCTTTGTAGTAATACACTTGGACCACTTGGTAAGAAGTAAAGATCAGTGGACATATTATGGAAACAAAGAGATTAGCAGAGACACCAAGCAGTAGAGCCTGCTTTTATTCTCACTCTTTTTTTTCCTCCATTTCTAAGACATATTTCGGTGGCTTTGGTGATAGTTGAATAGAAAGAAATCTATATATGAAGCAATTTAGGAAAATTCTCCTAAGTTATCAATCCAACATATGCAATCCTCACATCTCAATAATTATACCAAATTTCATTTATACCTAACATGAGTCCGTTCTGATTCAGAAGGCAGAATATCAGAGTGGCTGAGGACATGGCTTGTGGAACCAGCATCTCTGAACTTGAAATTTATGTCTGGATTCTGCTAGCTTATGGAGATAAAAATTTAGTTAACTCTTATGTACCCTATTTTCACCCTTATAATGTAATTAGTACCTCTCATATTAAGTTTTATAAGAATTAAATAAGTTAATATATATAACTTTCTTATAATAGGTCCTACCAAATGGTAGATGGTGCTGGTTTTTCCCTGTTTTTCTTCTGGATTCACTGGGGGCTTCACTGCCTTGCTCTGTGTCCTGAAAGACTAACTTTCATTTTCTTCCTTACTTAGGCTCCCATGACCTCTGACTTCTGGTTGGATTTGCAGTTGGAGACCATGAAAAGAGATAGACAAGAGGAGTGAGATCAGGGTATCCCTTCTTCCCAGTTTCTCATAGCCTGATTTTGGTATTGGCAGTGATTCTCTTTCCTTTTCTGCACTATAGCTCACTGCTACTGTGAATGGGGATCTCTCTACCTGGCTCTGTCTCTTGCTTTGTCTGATAATACTGCTTCCTCCCCATGCCTTATCAGTCTTCATGCAAGCCAAGGCTTTCTGTGCATCTAGGTCCTGGTGATTCAGCACTCCTTGTTGATTCCTTTAACACTATTTACAACTTCATCAATAATACCTCTATTTCATTAATACCTTCAATGAACCATTTGAGAGCACCACTTATTTGCCCATGGGATCACAATCAGTAGAGGGCCAAATTGTGTAGTTTAAAATAAATATGAGGTTATTTCCTTCAAGTCAATAAAGCAGCAACAGTCATAAGAATGGGAATTTCAAAACTTTGGTAAGGAAAATCAATTTTATTAACCTGGTGTAACTGATAATATAAAATTTCTTAAGAAAAGAGGGAGTGGGTAGAGCTGAGACTAGATTTCAGTTTCAATAGAAGAAAGGAGGAAATACCTTCTTCCAGGGTCTGTACACAGTGGTCCTTACCCTCTTTTCTTCTGGAAAGTGTTGGACGTAAATACTTGGAATATAAGAGGGTGGAAGGTTGTGTTTAGGTGACAATATCTAGTTGAGTATAGATCAAATCCTAGTTTCAGTGTTTAGTGAGGTAAAGCATGAAGACTTCGGAGTTGCTGGGTGGGGTGAGGGGAGAGTGGTTCTCAGTGTTGAGTAGAAGAAGCTTATAAGGCTGCATAACTAAGAGCTAGACCTGAAAAGGCACTTGTAGAAAATAAATAAGAAGGCAATGACTGGTTTCCATTCTCACAGTAGTTACAGAATGACACAGGAAGTATGCAAAATTCTTAAATACAATGATTGTATATTGTAGTAATGTAGTAAGTGTAACAACCTGTTACTCAACTGGCACCCAACTGATAAGTCCATCATAGAAGACTTGAAAAAAAAAAACCACACTGCTTGCATATCTCCAGTCACAAAACAATATTCAATATGTGTGCAGGGCTAAGTTTGCAGGAAATAGAGATTAAGAGTCATGAAGGTGAACCTGGGGCATGCAAGCATTAACATTGTGTGAGGTGCTACTACCTCATGAACAAAAGAGTAATTGTTTTATTCAGCCTGGAAATGAATTTAACATAATTATGCCTACAAGCCTTTCCAATAAAACTCAGACTTAAGCATTTTCAACTCTCAAGTCAAACAAAATTCTATAGACACTTCAATTCTCACACTTATCACAGTAGGACTGAAGACAGTATAATGTATCATTAAGAGGGAAGGGGTTAAGGTCTAGAATCTGACTTCCTGAATTCAAATCCTAACTCTGCTACTTCCTATCTGTAAAACCACAAGGCTCAGGTAATACTTACCAGAGCAGTTACCACACATAGAACCACTCCATGTGTGTTATTCTTCAATTTCTTGTTGGTTCATATATTTATGAACATTTTACAGATAATAAGTAGCAGAGTTAGGATTCAAATTCAGGAAGTCTGATTCTAGACCTTAACCCCTTCCCTCTTAATGATACATTATACATATTTCAACTTCTGGATGTCTCCGTTTCCTCTTGAGGTCAGAATATTACCTATTTCCTTCTTGAGGTCAGAATATTACCTATTTCTTGGGAATACTGTGAGGACAACATAAGACAATACATGCAAAAGACATAGTAGAGTAGCTTGCACATAGTTAATACAGTTAGCACTCCATATCCACAGGTTCTGTATCCGCAGACTCAACTCCATAGATTCAACAAACCAAGGCTCAAAAATATTAGGAAAAAAAAAATAAAAATAACAAAAATAAAAATAATATACAATTTAGTAGAGCCACTACTTACATAAGAGTTACACTGTATTGGGTATTAAGAATAATCTAAAATGCTTTAAAGCATATGAGAGGAGGTACGTAGGTTATATGCAAATACTATATCATTTTATATCAGAACTTGAGCATTTACAGATTTTGGTATGGGGGCTTCCTGGAACCAATGCCTTACAGACACCAAGGGTCAAACATATTTAGTAAATCTGAACTGTTTTTCTCTATGTGCATCAAGATTCTATGAATACTTTGAGGACAAGGTCTATATATTATTTATCTTATATCCATTACAGAGTCTATCATATAGTAACTACGAAATAAATATTTGCTTAAAACTGATTGAGGTTAATTGGACTTAAAGATTTGTTTTCTTTTCTCACAGAAAAACAAAGCACATATACTGTCTTTCATTGTAATCATCACTGGAGTTTTCATGTTAATCACTGGAGGAAAGACTATTAATAGTTTGCTGTACTTTAAATGTCTGTCTTTTTTAAATATTAGTGCATCAATGTAAATACATATCTACACCCTTAGGTACATACAGAAGCAAATTCACATTTAAGTTGTGAAGTAATTATTTACCAAAAGCAATTAAGCCCTTTTAAAATAATAACTAGGAATAATTTATGGGCCACAAAAAAGAAGAATAGGTTACTCACTTGAATGTCCTTTCATAGAAAATATTCACAAATCCACTTTTTTGACAATAAAATTACATTGTATATATTTAATTTGTAATAAACAATGTATAAAGGGTAGCAATTGGTGTTATAAACTTTGATGAACATTCAATTAGCATCAACATATCAAAAAGTCCTCCTTTCCTATTTACTAGTTCTTCAGTTTACTTAGCCCATAGGAAAATCTTTTTCAAAATTAACAATAAGTAGACTTTTCTGAAGAAAAATAAAGTAGTAACTATGGACTATTATGTTTTGACCACAGGCTATAAACTAGCACATGGTGAAACACATTGGAATAGCAAAGGAGAATGTATGCCTTCGTGGTTTATGGCTATTTAGACAGAGCCCATTTGAATATTTTACTGTTTAAGAATATTTCTATTAACATCTTATTGTATGTATCTATTAGGAGAGAAAACAGTAATGTATACAATTATGATAACAGTTACCATTTATTGATTTTTAAAAAAGTAAATGAAATTTTAACAGGTCTTTCCCAGGTATAGGTAGACTCTCCTTATCCATGTTTTCTCTTTCACCAGTTTCAGTTGTCCCCCAATCAGCCATGGCCCAAAAAATATTAAATGAAAACTTCCAGAAATAAACAATTAGTAAGTTTTGAATTTGCCATTGTTCTAAGTAGCATGATGAAATCTCACACCATCCCACTGACATGCCCTAGATGTGAATCATCCCTTTGTCCAGCATATACACACTCTAGACCCTAGAAGCCCTGCACAATGTGATTATGTTGGAAGAAAACATAAAACTATCCACAGTTTCAGGCATTCACTGGGGGTCTTGGAATGTATCCCCGATAGATAAGGGGAGACTACCGTAATCCTATTCAACATTCACAGAATCACTAGATGATAAACTCTATCAAGACAGAATTTATCTGTCTATTTTATTTATCAGTGTCCTCAGTAATCAGCACTGAGTCTAGAATACAGTTGACAATAGATGCTGATTAAACAACAGCTTCCCTTTGAAGTAGGTTCTCAGGAGAAGAAGATTCTTAGTTTGTTAATATTTCACTATTACAGAATGTACATTTTACAAAATCTACCATTGTTTGGCATGGTCAGGGTTATGTTCATTTATAGTTTCAACATTCACTATATGTTCTCTATTTATGTTCACTATAGTTTCAATGAAAGAAGGCCTGAGACATACCTTTACTTTATCATGTGTAGAAAAATGTAGAAGGATCGAAATTAAGCCTAAAATGTCTAAGAAAATTCCTAACACATGCACTGTAATTAAAAGTCTGCAAAATTGTGATCCTGATTCATGTAAATTGAAGGCTGTAAAATACGACCATTAAAAAATCTTAGAATGTGTATTTAGAATTGTTAAAAGCTCTTTTAAGATTATGTCATCAGTTAATAAAAGAAAGAAATGTAGGATAAAGTAACCTCCAAAAGTCAAAACCACCAGGCTCAGATAATACTCACCAGAACAGTTACCACACGTAGAACCACACCACGCATGTTATTCTCCAATTTCTTGTCAGTCAGTGACCCATTCAGACCTGTGACAGGATTCCAGCACCCAAGCTGAAAGATAAGACAGCTTTGGTCATTTTTCTGTCTGAAGAACAGTCCCATCACCTCTGTACAGCCCTTATGGAGAACTATGTGATAGCTCTTGGAATAATTGGTATAGAAAGAGTACTGCACAGGTTTTCTTTTTCAATAGGAAATGAAGTTATTAGAAATGCCATTTCTTGCATTAAATGTCATCATATGGCACATGACAGTACCCAACGTGCTTTAAGAGGCTCATTGAGGACATTTTACTTAATGAGGAGTTATATATACACCAATCACTAAGTCCCAGTAATGCACTAATTGGAAAAATAATAGCACATATAACTCTAACATAATGTCTATTTTAATGTACCAATTACTGTAAGTTAGATTCTCTAATAGTTTCAATGGTTTTAATTTGATCTTATATGACTTTTACTGGGAAAATAGACACTTTTTTAATATGGTTAGAAGGAGAACTGCTTTTATTTGAAAAAAAAAATCACGTGTATGGCTTTGTTTTCAAAGTATTCATAGCACGTAAAACAATATGATTTGCCTTTTTGTCAGTGTTATCAATTTGCTTGGAATATTTTGGCAGAGCCTTTTTCTTAAAGTCTTGCAATGACTCACTGCTCTTTACTCACCCAAACAATGGTTCAGTTTTACGCTCTTACGTAGGTCTTATCTCTTGGAATATGTAAATCTGAAGGCTACCAGTTTTTAAATTACTGTCTATATATCTGAATGGGATAAAAATTGATGACTCTCCATAAAAAATAAGGAGAAAAGAAAGAGATAATTTGATTTGAATTAGCAGATAACTGTTTATGGAAGAAGGCTGCAGAGAGAGAGAATGTTGTAATGCACATCTTGGGAAGAAATGTCCTATTATTCATCTTGAAACCAGTTCCATGAGCCTTTACATTTAGGAACATATTCTGCATGTGCAAACTTAAAAATGTAACAGATCTTTAGTCATATTCAGAGCTGTTTTGATTAACTGAATGGTCATAGGGGCAAATGGTTATTTATGCTGTTTCCTCCTGATGACTGTGATTTATTTCTTTTTATTGCGGTTTTTCTGTAGCTTCCAAAGTCATCTACATACTGGCCGGCAAGTCTTCCCTACAAATAAACAATTTAGGTGCTTCTTATTAAAACTCAAGTTTCTCTTTGAGCTCCGCAAAAGGTGTTTAATTAAGAAAACTAAAATGTACATAATATATCTTAAGAGAAGGGAACGTCACAGTATAAACAGCAGAGCCAGCTTTTTCCTTATTAAAATAATTTAGAAAAGGCTGCTAATTGTTGGTTTCAACTGTAAAAGCACATTAAATTCATACAATGATATGTCATTCTTAGTTACATAAAAAGCCTAATTAGAACTTAGATCCAATTAGCAAATCCAAATGTGTTGAAAGTCTAATTATCAGAGACATTGTGGTCCTCTGCCAAATTTAAAACTTTTATGAAATTTCTTTTGAGATTTTCTCTTCTGAGGTCAACAAAAGTCTATCTTCAATTGCATTCCCCGATGTGTGCTTTTTCTAATTACTTCCTCAGGAGGATTTTACTTTCCTAGACCAAATAATATTGGTGGAAAAAGTAATCTATAACATTAAGTGAAGAGCTATTCCAATATGCTATCTCCACATATCACAACCATATAACTTAATTTTAAGTTTCACAAATAGCTTTTAGGATATAATCTTGTTCATGGCAAACATGTCTAAGCTGCCAAAGCACACACAGGAATTTCTTTTCTGTCCCCTTTAGATTTGTCTCTTAAGTTTGGTGAAACTATTGTCAGTTTGTGTAAATAAATGACATCTATTAGCACCAACTTGACTGTACCATTTCAGTGTACTGAATAGTCAAAAATATCAGCAACTGGATTAACAGTGAAACTTGAGCCATTTGTTTCAACAATGCTATGGACAAACATTTATAAATATATATTTCCAGTTTCTTCAGAATGATGTTTTCTTTTAAACATAACTGAACATGGTCAATGGTTTTATAATTCTAAAGCACTCTAGTATTTGGAGGTTCCACATAACAACAGCAAAAAAGCATTCCAAGTAGGTAGAATAGGTAAATATATCTCATCTTCTGACCTAGGCAGTGACTTCAACATTATTTATACCATGTATAATATTTATTTTCATTTAAAAATTTGTAATATTTAGCTAGACTCTCTCATATGTATTACAAGACAATAATTTCTCTCCATTACTTGACAAAGACTTTTCACCTTTCTGTGTTCTCCTTTTGTTTTTTTCCGTCTGACTCATATGTCCTTTGATAACAGCATTTGTACAGTTGTTCTTCTTAATAACAGCAGTCTAGATTTTAGGATTGGTAAGTTCCACTTACTTAACTTAGTTCTTCCTTCAAATGTACAAAGAAACTTTAATGTTTCCTAAATATTAGCTGTGGATGTAAAGAGCTAGGATGCTCAAAGACTGAATTTGGGAGTAAAGAATGTTTAGGATACAGATTATCTGGAAAACTAGAAATAAAGTACATTCTCTTATCACATATCATAACGGGGTATAACTAATAAATTATTAAGGAAATAAAACAATACTTATTTCCTGTATTGATTACATTTTTGAATGCTGTTTAATACTTTCTATGTGTCAGCCATGGTGCTGAGCTTTTTATACATGTAAGCTCCACAATGACCATATGAGAAGGTGCTCTTACAATTGTTATTTAATAGGCAAGAAAACTAAGGACTTCATTTAGATCACATATTTACTAAGAGGTGAAACCAGTATTTAATCCAGTTCTTTTTAAAGTCCAGATACAGCATTTTTGATTGAGGTGTTGTTTTATAGCTTATGAATCCTTTTCATAAATGTGATCTACTCAAGTTAGGTAGGGAAGATATTTCTATTTTATAGCAAATGACATTGAGACTGAGAATTGTTAAGTGTTTGGTTTTATATTCCTGGGCTCAAGGGATCCTCCCACCTCAGCCTTCCAAAATGCTGCGATTATAGGTTTAAACCAGAGCACCCAGCCTGCAAATTTCTCATTTTAACATTCCTCAATTTCTGTTCATATCCACTTATCTCCTTGAGGTTCATTTCAAGCTTTTTTGATTATAAAAACTTTTGTTTTCAATAATAAGCAATAAAGATGAATTAGATTCATAGAGATTCAAATTGAGTTTGTATCTGCAACTGGTAATATTTCTTGTTGCATAGCAAGATTGACAGGCATAGTGATTAATAAAAACTAGGCAAACTTCACTTAGGTTCAAATGTGAGGTTTATCTAACAAGTCCTCTGGTTTCAATGTCTGAATTCCCATTAGTTTGACTTCTCTGGCTATGTGGAGATGGTTGTTTTTGTCTGCTGTGTCTCTGATTTTGTTTCTTTTTTTTTTTTTTTTTTTAAACAGTGAGTCCAAGACTAGTAAAGATAACACATAAAAAAGTCTCATACCATCTATTCAGCTGAGTGCTTCCTAAATAAAAAACAATAAAGGTGGCCCCTGCAGCACATGAGACTTACAGAAAGTCACACCGCTGATGGCAAAACAAGATTCACTATCTTTTGCGGTCTGGCAGTCTGAAGAAAATTTAGAAGGGATAAAAAAAGTAAATCCAATTCAATTTCCTTTCAATTACAATATATTGATTTCCTATAGTATTTTCTGGTTATTGATTTCCTATAGTATTTTCTGTCATCTTAAGACCTTAAAATGCCTAGTGCTTTAATTATTTCCTTCATTGGAGCTTTGGCAATAATACTCTTGTAACATTATGTTAAAATCAATGTAATATCTTATGTTCTACAAACTGGGTTGATGTATTTGCATGAGCACAGTAGCGTGCTCCTAACATTATGTGTACTAATGATCAAGTTTTCAATATTTACTCTTTCTTCCTCAATGTTTCCACTTCTTATTTTCCATGGGCTGTAAGGGATGACTTGTGACTCTTGGGTTTAACATCATTATTTTTCAGTCAGTGTTATAATGTCAAAAAGAGCTGAACTGCTCAATTTTAATTTTATGCTCAATAGTTTGTAGGCTTTAATAACAGGAATCAGGAGAGCTCTTAATTGAATACCAAATGGAATTCTCTCCATTTATTAGCTTGTATTCATATGGAACAAATGAAGCCTGTCTATAGGTCCAATGCTCCAGCTACCGGACACAAAATATCCACTGCACTGAGGGCTGTATGCTACCAGCCACAATGTTTCGTTTACTTGAATTCTCAGCTTTCTGACAAAAAGAGGGAACAAAAAGTCATAGGTAAAGCAGCTTAAAAGCCAGCCACTTAGAAATGTGCAGCATTTATTTGGTAGATATTACTTCTGTAATGGGATAGAAAGTGTAAAAAATACATATGGCAGGTTGACTCAGATACATGTTTTATAGAATTAAATTGGAATGTTTTCCACTTTGACATGTGAATGAATGCAGTGTGCCAGTAATCTCTCCAACGATAATTTTCTTTATGGTATTTCCACCTGCAAAATAGGTTCAATTTGTAAAATGTGCTCCCTAGAGGATGATTATATGCTCCTAAGATTCTATACTACAGTATGGTCATTACCATAAAGTAGTAGTCGTTCTTGAGATTATGTGGAATAGCCTTAGCACTTGAGTTTCCTTCAGGAGAAAATGTCTTTGAAAAGTCAGAAAAAAAAATCACATGGTTCAACTACTTTTATCTCCCTGTTTCACTACTGCAAACAGAACCTTCATACTATGTAACATGATGAACTTGTTAACTGATTCCTACAAATGAAGAAAACATGAGAACCAGTATACACACACACACACACACACAAATGTATATACATATATCTATATATAGACATATTTGTATAAATATATATAGATACATATATATGTCCATATACACATATGTATAGCCCACAGATGTTTTATGCAGTCATGATAATCATTCTATTATCAACTGACATTTAACTGATTTAATGATATTCTGCTGTTTGTATAGGTTTTCCTTTCTTTTATAATTCTTCTGGTGTAAAATTACC